GCTCCGGGGGTCCCGGCTCCGGGGGTCCCCGCTCCGGGCCTCTGCCCGCCCCGCTCCCTGCCCCTGCGCCTGCCCCTCCCGCCGGTGCCCGCCTGCCGGCTTGCTGCCTTGCCTTTTCCTTCTTCAGTGTTTGCTTTCTTTCGTTTCTTTCTACCTTTTCTTTCTCTCTTCTTTCCTTCTTTCTTTCTTTTTCTCCCTCTTGTTCTCTCTCTCTTTCTTTTTATCTTTTTCTTTCTTTTTCTTTCTTGCTCTCCCACTTTCCTTCTCTCTTTCTTTCCTACTCCCTTTCCCTCTTCTTTTTCCTTCTTGTCCGTCTTTCTGTCTGCTTTTTCTTTTTCTTTCTTTCTCACTTCTCCTTTTCTGTGTCTTTTCCCCCCCTGTGATTTTCTTAGGCTGTCTCTCTTTCCCCTCTTTTTAATCTTCTTTTTCTCTCTCTCTCATCTTTTTTATCTTCTTGTTCTCTTGCTCTCCTCTTTTTTACCTTCTTGTTCTCTCTTTCTCAGCTTCTTTTTTTCTCTCTCTCTCCTTTTAATCTTCTTTTTCTCTCTTTCTCCTCCTTTTTATCTTCTTTCCCTCTCTTTCTCTCTGTTTTTTCTCTGCCTCCTCCCTTCTCCCTCTCTTTCTCTCTCCTCTCCCCTCCCCTCCCGTTGCCCCCCTGTCCAGCCCCACCGTGGGACCGCAGGCAGCCGGGGCGGGAGCAGGGCCACAGCACCGCGGTGCTGGGGGGGATGAATGCTGCCAGCTTGGGGTGGGGAAGGCACCCATGGCCCCCCAGGACCCCCGTCTCTGTCCTCCCTGGTCTCCCCAGCATCCCGCAGAGGGGACGCTGCCGGGCTGGGGGTGCCGGCGCGGGACCCTGACGCCGTTCTCTGTCCGCAGGGAGCGAGGTGTCCCAGGAGAGCCTGCTCCTCCACGGCCCCTTCGCTCGGAAACCCAAGCGCATCCGCACCGCCTTCTCGCCGTCGCAGCTCCTGCGGCTGGAGCGGGCCTTCGAGAAGAACCACTACGTGGTGGGCGCCGAGCGCAAGCAGCTGGCCAGCAGCCTCAGCCTCTCCGAGACCCAGGTACCGTCAGTCCCGCCGTCCGTCCATCCATCCGTCTGTGGGAGCAGCTCGGCATCGGGCGGCAGAGACAGCGCCGGCCCCGTGCAGGGCTGAGGCTGTGCTTTGCAAAAATCCCGGCTGGGTTTATCCAGGAATCCCGCGTGGAAACCACGGCCGAACCGTGCGGATTCGCGTGGCTCAGGGTGGGTTTGGGGTTCTATTTTTGCCGCGGCGTTGGGTCGTTACGGTCGTCCCCGGCAGGGCCTGAGGCTGGGGGTGCAGGTCTCGCGTCGTGCCGCTCTCCAGAGCGCTTCTCCGGTGTTATTTCTTGCTTGCTTGGGGTGTTTTTCCTGAGAGCAATATATGGTTTTTAAAATCCCATTAAAAAAGGAGCAGCAGCCTGATACCCTTCCCCGCAGAGCTGCAAAAACGCCCTTCAGTTGTGCTGCTTTGCTGTTGTACAAGCACCACGGCGCCCGCAGGTTAGGATGGGTGCAGGGATGGGCGCCTGCCGACGGGTATTGGTTTCAGCTGGACCTTTCTGATTTTTAGAGAAGACATTTAGAAATGATGAGACCCAGGAGGGCCATAGGGATGAAGGGAAGCAGAAAAGCGTACGGTGCTGGGGGAAAACAGGGGAGTCGGGGCTGAGCATCGCTGCGTGTGTCCAAGCCCGCTGTCCTGGCGAGCGGCTATTCCCAAATGCTCCGGGCGAAGGTACGCTATTTCCCATCATATTCAGTAACTGAGTCGATGGAGAAAGTTTTCTCCAAATTCTGGCTAGGTAGTTTGGCCTACGTTCTGAATTAATTTAATTTTTATCCTTTAATTCAATTGGAAAATAAAGCTGGAGCTGTGGGTGTTCCCGGTACCAGCCTGGCTCATCCCTGGCCAGGCTCTGCCAAGCAAAACCTCCAAAGGCATCTCAGCGAGAGGGCAGTTACCGGCAGGAAAATGTCCCTGTCACGGGGACAGCGGGAAGCCGCAGGGGCCGATATCGGGGAGGACGGACCGAGGCCACAAATCCGGAGGCCGTTTGTATCCCGATGCCGATGCTATCCTGAGTGCCCCAGCCCTGCGGCTCGCAGGGCACGGCAGCGGCTGGCACCCCAGCTCGGGGCCTTCCCTTGCCGCTTCTGTCACCTCTCCGGGCTGAAAATGATGTTAAAGGGAAAAAAAAACCCACCCCAAAGGTCCGGGAACAAAGAGCGACGTGGCCGGGCGGCCAGGGCAGCTGCGGGATGCCCGAGGGGAGCTCAGCGGGTCCCGTGGATTTCGCATCATTGCCCCGAGCCTCAATGCGCTAATGCAATTTATTGGGGAAAAAGCAGAGGCATCCGTCCCTAAATCCGGGTGGAGATTTAGAAATGGAGAGAGGCAATATAGATCTATATCTTTTTTTTTTTTTTTTTCATGCACAGCAGCGTGTTTTGTAGCACATTATTGCCATGTTTTTGGAAAGCTGCTGCAGCCGCTCGGCGCGGGGTAATTCATCCCCTGCGGGCAGGGAGCGAGCGCGGGTCAGGGCGGGAGGCATTTGCGGGGCCGGGGCCGCTCCGTCCTTCCCATCCTTCCCGCAGCCCCACGGCTCCGGCCGGAGAGCCGGCATCAGGCTCAGGACCGGCAGCGGTTGGCAGGGGGCCCACGGGACGGCAGGGAAGTCTTTTTTTCCCTTTCGGCTTTGTGGCTTTAGAAAAATAATCTTTTTTTAAAAAAAAATCTTTTTTTAATTAGCTGGAGGGAAATAACCCTCAATGTGCAGAGGGGCGCGATAGGGGATGGGCATCAAAGTACCGGGACAGGCAGGGCGGGAGAGCCAGCCTGGCTGGTGGCTGTGCCAAAAGCAGGCATCATCATTATTATTATTGTTATTATTATTATTGTTGTTGTTGTTGTTGTTGTTATTATTATTATTATCATTATTATCATTATTATATCTCCAGTGACACGTCCTACACACATGCAAACCTCCCGTGGAAAGCCACCCCCCGTCCTCGGTGACACGCGGCCCCGGTGTGACGCCGGGTGGCACAGGCGTGTTCCCCCCGAGCCCCGGGGCGGGTGTGCTTTATTAATTTCCGGTGGGTTTAGCCGCTCCGAGAAGGGGCTGCTGGTTTTATGGCTGTGCCTGGCCCCGATTCCCAGCCGCTTTTCCCAGTGGAAAAGGGAGCTTTGCCCTTCGGGCTGTGCCTGCTCCGGGTCCCCCGGCCAGGGAGCAACGCCCGGGGCAGCCCAGGGGAAGGCGGAAAGGGTCGGGGTACCTATGGCTCGGGAAATGCCTTGGGATATCGGGTGGGGAAGGGTGGAGCTGATTAACCCCTTCCCATCCTTTCTCCTACCAAGGAGCTGTGTGAGTCTGGGATAAGGCAGGCCCAGGCAAGAACAACAACAAAAAAAAGGGAATGGGAGAAAATCCAGCAGCAGCGCAGGGTCCCAAAGCAAACGCAAGCCTCCGAGAAGCGGGATGAGGCTGGAGTCCGCGTAGGGAGGCTCCGCAGGGGGTGCGGGGTGGCCTGTGCAAGGGGAGCCGTCCGTGGGGTTTGGGGGGGACGCCGGGGCGTGAGCGGGACGGCCTAACGAGGCTGGCGGTCGGCGTGCCGCGGGGGTGCCGGGCAGCCTGGGCGCAGCGGGGTGGCCTGCCGGGGGTGGGACGCCTGTGCCGGGCAGGTGGGGAGTGGGGAGGAGGTGGGGGTACCACGCTGTGGTCGGGCTGGGCTGGGCTGGGCGACACGGGCGGTCACCCCGCTGTGCCCATCGCCCATGGCGTCAGGTCGCTGGGGGAGCGCACTGGGCTGAGAAATAACTTCCCTGAGTTAATTTTGCACGAGGCAGCGCGGATCTCCCAGCAGAGCCTCTCCATCCCCGGCGGCACGTGCTGCTAACCCTGCTCGGGGCCTCAAAACACCTTCCCAAAGCAAAGGCCTCAGCCTGGCTCCTGCCAGCGGCAGCTTTGGGGTGGTGATGGAGACACTGTATGTCCCAGCATCCCCTCCCGGCTTTGGGGTGATTACGGAGACACCGTACGTCCCAGCATCCCCCCCCCACCGTCGTGCGTGCAGGGATGGAGGCGCAGCAGCCCCGGCCGGTGGCTCGGGGCCGGCCGGGCATCGCAGGTGCATGGGCGGGAGCGCTAATAACTGAGCGAATGCTGGGGAGTCACGGGAGGAGAAAGATGCGCGACCCAGATACAGCCGGAGAGCGGCCGCGCTGCAAAGCCAGGTGCGCAGGGCACCCTGCGTTCTGCCGAGGCCGAGCCTGCTGGCACTGGCGGTGGTCCCCCGTCCCCAAAACCAAGCTTTTCAAAGTTTTGGGGTGTTTTTAGAAGAAAAGTCCCGGCTGGGACTGCAGGCGTAGGCGAGGGTGCAGTGCTGATGCCCGGGGAGCTCCGCTGCCCTTCAAGGTGGCAGCGCCTTCGGGTGACAGCACAGCCCAAGCGGTGTCACTGTGTCCCCAGGTGACAGCGGGGTTGGCCCCTCTCAGTAACCATCCAGACCCATCCCCGTGCTCTCAGCCTTCGGCAGGGTTTGGGTCACAGGGCCGTTGTCCAGGGGAGCCGCACATGAAGCCACCGGATTTAACTTGTCCCCAGCTTGGTGATGGCACCGTCACCTTTCGGGCAGAGCCACTTCCCCGGGTGCTGGTGGCATCCCTGAAGCAGAGCGTGATTTCCCGGTGGCCGCGGTGGCCCGCAGGGCGTTGCACGGGTGGGAGCGCATCACGGGCGCAGGCAAAGCAGCGGATGGGAGCTGCGGCTAGAGGCAGGACCGGGATGCAGGAGCCGTCCAGGGACCGTCCCCATCCCACAGCAGGAGCGCGGGGCCGGTGGTGACCCTGGAGGGCACGGCCAGCCCTGGGGAGCGGCTGGGCAGGGACCCCATGAGCATCGCACCGGTCAGATGCACAAACACCCGGCATGACAATGGTTAATGCGGCGAGGGTTTGGGAAGGGATAAAACCCCCTGAGCTTGGGGGTTTAAACCAATTACTCTTGGAGTCAGGATGAGGCATCGTAGGGGGCAGCTTATCCCCCCGGTGCCCACTGTGAGGTTCTCACACTTCTCTCATTGTGGCTTCTGGCCTGTTGGAGCGAGGGATACGGTATCGGAGGGGTCGGGGAGCCCATCCAGCCTGGAAACATCCCCGTTCCCGCAGCCGAGACAGTCGGGAAGCGCAGGGGAGCCTCATCCCGCAGGAGACGGCCGTACCCCGGTGGGTTTCTCCGAGCTGGGGAGGAAAGGCTTCACATGCGGGAGCCGCTTCACACCCACCCCGGATTTCCACAGAGCCTCAGTCAAGCATCTTAATTGCTTTATGCCTTAGTTTCCCCTTCTATAATTTAGGGATAAGGCAACTTCCCTGCTCCCAGAGGGCTGAGAGCTTTAATTAAAGTTTGCAAAGTGCTTTGCAGTCGTTGAATGAAAGGCACCAGCTCAGTATTGTTCCAGCAATGCCCCAAAGCTAGGAAAGCAAATGGTTTGAGTCCAGGGCGGGGGGGTTATAATATGTACCGGTGCCATAAAGCAGCTGCTTCAATAGACCGAGCATGCCTTAAAGTCAAGGGCTCGTCCTGCGCTGGCGGCGCGGCACCCTGCAAGGGCTTTGCTCACCTGGGGAACGCAGCGAGGTGGGAACGCTGGCCTTCGCCGCGCTGCGCGAGGCTCCAGAGCAGAAAGCAAGCGCTGCCTGCAATTAATGCTGAAGGAGAAGGGGCAAGGGGGTGACGGTCCCGGGGATGAGGTGCTGGAGGGGCTGCGGGCACCGCACCACCTGCAAGTGGGTAAATGCTTCAGCCTGGCCTGTGCCGGGCTGGCAGCGGCGGCCGAGCAGCGGCACCTAGTGTCCTGCGGGGCCTGGGAAGCCGGGCAGCATCCCGCATCCCTGCCTGCAGCATCCCGCATCCCTTCTGCAGCATCCCGCACCGCTCCCCGCACGCCCGCCTCCCGCCCCGCTCCGTGCGGCACCCCGCACCGCTGCCTGCAGCGTCCTGCATCCCTGCCTGCACAGCATCCTGCATCGCCAGCCACATGGGTGCCCGCAGCATCCCACACCACCGACTGCGTGGGTGCTTTCAGCATCCCAAACTGACCGCCGTCTCTGTGCTGCCGTGTCCAGCCCCGCCACGGGTCATGCTCCCGGCGCCGGCAGGGAGGGCGTGCGGGGTCGGAGCAGGGCGCGCGGGGCCGCGGGCAGGCGAGGAGGGCATTACCTCCAAGGATGGAGACCCTGCTGCCTCTCTGGGCTCCTGGCGCAGCGTTTGACCACCACCATGGTGGAAAAGGTTTCCTGAAACCTAACTGTGGTAAATTAATGATCTATAATGGTAATTATTAGCTATCTGTAATGAGCTACCTGGTTTATACAGTGCAGCCCAAGCCTAACGATGCCGCCCTGGCCCTGGGACCCAGGTCCTCGCTGGAGCTGTAGGATGGCTCCCTGTGTCGTCCCACGTGGTCGTCGGAGCCACGGCCGCTGTGCCCATGGCATCCTGACACCAGCGACCAAATGAAACGGGTTAAGCTGGGTTTAGCTGCTCCGGCTGTGCCGTGCCCATCAGGGCGCAGCCCAGACACTGGGGTGACGGGCAGCGGGTTGCGGTGCCGTAAGGACGGTCCCACGTGCCTGCCGACCCCGTGCCTGGGGTGCGATTGAGGGTCCTTCACCCCTCTTGGGTTCCTCCAGGGCTGCAATGTGCAGCAAAGCGGAGCTGGGAGGCGGCAGCACCCCGCACCCTGCAGCCCCCCACATTTGGCCCCCCAATCCCACCTTGCCGTGGGCAGAGGGGAAACCGAGGCAGGGCACGGTGGCCATAGGAGCGCTCCTGGGGGACAGGGACTTCTTTTTTGCTGGTCTCCGAGGAAAACTGAGTTCACAGCCTGGTTGCAGCACCATCCCTCGCCGGGGCCGGCTGTGCCGGGACCCCCTGCGAGCGCCCGTCTCTCCCTCTCCCCCAGGTGAAAGTGTGGTTCCAGAACAGGCGGACGAAATACAAACGGCAGAAGCTGGAGGAGGAAGGACCTGACTCAGATCAGAAGAAGAAAGGTTCCCACCACATCAACCGATGGCGCCTCGCCACCAAGCAGTCGAGCGGAGAAGACATCGACGTCACCTCCAACGACTAAGGCAGGGACAGGCTCCTGGTGCAGCCACCATGGAGAGAAACCCGGGGGAGGAAGGGGGGACACAGGCGGCATCACCAAACGAACTCTAGGGACGTCGCCGAAGCCACCGCCGCCGCCCGCTGCCTTTCCTCCGGGGCGCCCGGCCTGACCGGGGACCCGCACCCTGTCCCCCCCCGCCGCCGGGGCGTCCCTCGGAGGTGCTTTTCGGGAAGCTCCCGCCGCCGAGCCGAGGAGGAAGAGGAGGCTGCCAGGGCGCCCGCGGCCCCGGGACGCGACCGCGCATCCTCCTCCGCGCTGGAAGCCGTCCGTCAGCCATGAGATCAAATAAAAACGTCCTACCTAGAAGCTCAATGTACCCAACCCCTTTTTCATTTTCCTTTTTATTTTTCACTTTTTTTTTTTCGCCTCCCTCCTTTTCTCCATTGTTTTGGTTTGGGTTTTTTTTGGGTTTTTTTACACAGTTTTATTTTAATTTATTCTTTTATTTTTGTGCCTGTGTGCGTGCGTTCCCTGTCGTAGGTAGTCAGCAGCTGTAGTGTGTGTTACTGCGTGGTAATAAAAAGCAAAATGCGCTGGAAACCTGTCTGGTTGCGGAGGCGGGGGCCAAGGGGACCGTCCCCCTCTCCCATCGCCGGTCGAATGGCCACAGGGATGCCGGTGTCCTTGCCTGGGGGGCACTGGGAGGCACTGGGGGGGGATGGCTCCCACGGGAGCGATGGAGCCAGGAGAGCGTGGCGGCCCCGTCGTGGTGGGCACGGGGGGATGAGGGTGGCCGGGAGGAAGGGGGTCTCCCTCGGGGGTCCCCAGTGGAGCGGGGCCACCGCCGGGGTGGCCGCAGGTATGAGAGGTATGCGGCGGCTTCGGGGCCGGCAGCTTCACACCTGCGCCGGGATTGAATGTCGGGGAGAGGCTCCGAGGGGCTGTGCTTCCCTCCCGCTCCCCCGGGAATATCCCCCCCGGGAGACCCCCGAGCCCTGGGGTGCTGGGGGCCGGCGATGGGACCCCCGGGCACTCCTGGGGCCCCCCAGCAATGAGGGACTGGGGGGGTTCGGGGGACGAAGGTTGGGCGTCCTTCCCTCGTCTCAACAGAGTTTGGGGGAAAAAGCACTTAAAATAATTTTATATATGTATAAAAAAATATTAAAAATGTATACGCACAAGTATAGTAATAATATATAAGATAAACCATATATGCACACATATATACACACTTATACACATATATACATGCAGACAATATATACACATATATGTGTATACAATGTGTATATATATTGTATTTTATAGTGTATATTATATGTAATAATTACATGTTTTATAATACATATTTACATATTAGATTTTTTATAGATAATATATATAATATTCTATATTATTATTCTATATTATTATCTATAGTCTATATTATATATACACAAATTATATCTAATATTATATATTATCTATATCCACCCCCCCCCAATATAATAATTCCTGCCGTTGGGAAAGCCCCCTCCCCCCAGCCCCTGGTCCCGCGGGGAAAAGCCCCCACCCCGG